ATTTTGGACCTTCATTCAGCGAAGCAATTGAAGAAAAAGTCGTTCCTCGCGAACAGCGGAGGATTATTGTCATCTTTAGAAAATGTCGAAGGCACTGTATATAAATCCGAAATAAAATTCCTACTGAATGAAACGCGCAGACAATCCTGCGAAATGTCCTGGTTCACCATAAAAAAGACGTCCTTTGGAATTTGAATAGAAGGATATGTGCGGGAATGCATATATAAAACGCACGTTCTTCTCACTCGTCATATACAGTACTCTAAACAATAAAAATATTCCTATTGCTGCGGAATAAAGCAAGCAGGGAACTGAAGTCAAATTGCTTCTTTTTCTCGCGTAATACCTTTTCCCGTAGCACATTTTCATATTTCCAGATACAGTACAGCTGTAAAATATTTTCAGGCTCTGCAGAAAAAAAGAAACATTTCATTTAATTGATATTGTTGTTTGTTATTATAGGACCGGGAAGCTTCATTACCCAACGGACGTGTGTGGTCCTTTGTTCGAGGAGGAGCTCGAGTTCTGGAGCTTGGACTCGAATCAAGTGGAACCCTGCTGTTGGATGACATACACTTTTGTTATTATAGGACCGGGAAGCTTCATTACCCAACGGACGTGTGTGGTCCTTTGTTCGAGGAGGAGCTCGAGTTCTGGAGCTTGGACTCGAATCAAGTGGAACCCTGCTGTTGGATGACATACACTTCAGTGAGTATAAATGTCTCCTTCCAAATTTGCTATGCTCAAACAGATGTGCTTATTTGTGGACCGAAAAGAAGTGAAGAGCAACAGCTGCTGGTCTTTACTGCGTTACGTACGTGACGTTGATCAAGTGAGCGTCAAGCCCAACTGAGCCTTACATAGGAACATATCAGTGCCTATATATACTGACTATCCGTTCACTCAGTGGGCTGACTGTTGTACATGATTGATTAAATGTTTGTACTGAGTAAGTATTGCGTTTAGAAAGACTTCATAAGCAAACAGTAATTTTTCATGCATTTTAATAGCAGAAAATACTCTGGGTGACCGGAAGTCTGTGTTGCGTACCAAAGCAACGCAGCTCCAGCATTCGGCCGAAACTGGCCCAGAAAACTTGTTGGATCTTGAGGCCCATGAGCCTTGCCAAAATCCCGTTTTTGCGAGACTCACTGAGCCTCACTCAAGGACAAGAAGTGGTTATCACTTCCTTGATTTTCCTAAAATTGGCCAATCATGATTTCTTCCTGACCCAGTCCAAGCACCTGGGTATAAATACCTTCATTCTTCTTTGAGAGGAGAAGTCAGAGCCTAGTGTTAAAGGGCCTTTTGACTTTAATTACCTCAGTCAATATTCTGAGCTAACCAATCCAATCTTACAATTGACTCTTCCATTACAACTATCCAATTAACAGTCAATTGATGAACTGGGCAATGAGAATGAACTCCTCTGAAAAGAGTTTGAATTTTTATTCAAAACTTGCATTCTGATGACTGCACAATTCAATTCCTTTGTCTGGGATCCAATGGACCCATGACAGTCTGCAGTTTTTTTTTAAATCTGCGGCATGAGGAAATCTTGAATACCCAAGGATTTATATTATGGTATACTTTTACGTTGAAAATTGGAATAATATGATTCTGCCGATGGAAACAGTTGAACAGACGACCAATTGGGTGGTGCTCAGTTAGATGACAAGCAGCAATGAGTTTAGAGATTTCAAAAATGTACAATAATTGATGACATCATGTGAAAATGCGTATTAGTGATATGAGTATACGTGTTTACTTGAACATAGATGGGCAGCATGACAAATTCAGAAGATCTGAACTTTGCTAAAGGGCATAGGTTTCTTTCAGCGTCTTTGCTGATTTATGTAAATGAAAACACCCCGTTTTAGAAAAATTATGATTTCATCAAACCTCGCTATTATGCTAAGACATTCTTTAAATTGAAATTTTCCAGGAAGCAGCTTTTTTTCTATACAAATTATGCACTAGCAGTTAACGAGCACTTTTCCTGGAAAATCAATATTTTTAAATGCATGAAACAGCTCTTTTCTCAGAAATTATATTTTTGCGCTCTGCTTCGGCAAGCGTCCTATACATGAAATATTTTTTTGTAAGATTACTGTTTAGCAGCATCTACTGATGCGATAGATTTTCTCCGTGAATCTTAAAATTGCTTTTGAGGATCAAAGATTCAAAAATGAGAGCAATTTCGTCTTACGTAAACATATTTCCGGAGAACAAAATTCAATTTTGAAAAAAACAATACCCGCCTTGAAAATTGCGTTCATGGTTTTGATTCCAAATTCTCGGAAGAGTGAATCACGCAAGTATTATTTTTATGACGAAGACGAACTTTGAACTTCTACTTATCAGCATTTAAAATTAATCATTGTCATTCAATAATTTGAAAACTGTCTCCTCTGAACTATCAACAAATTCGATTATTTGTTGTTTCAGTGAAATAGCAACGAGAAGTTTCGAAAATGCTGGCCAGAATTTTGAAACTGCGTATTTTTGCTTTGAAAAACTTAATCGAAAAAACAAGTGTATCTCTGATAAAACTGTACTCGTTCAAATACTGTAACTGCATGTTTAATACAAAAGGGTATGTTTATTATATCGGTAACCAAAATAAAGGTGAGTGTCTTAAAGTCGCCTTTAGAGTTAAAGTGAGAGTCCAGAACTTTATAAAGGCAAACTGTCCCTACTTACCTTCTTCATTTGACTCACCCGCTTTAACCCTCTCGATTCTCACATCCTCGCTTTCCATAATCTTGAATCGATGTCTAAATCGGGCTGCAGTCGGAATTTACAATCAATAGCCAGTCGTAACTTCATTTGAATTGACTCACAAGAAGAAAGGCATCTGCTACGAATACAGACAATATAGGGGAAATCCCGAAGGGTTTATTGACCGGATGTCCGGCGGATTGCTTTTGAGATCCTTCTTCAAAGAATATCGCAGAATAAGTGTATACTGGGGATTTAAAAAAAAGCACATTTTCTCTAACTACGTAAGTTTAACCAAGTGGTACGTATTTTATAACTACTTTGCTAAAAGCACAACGTCGTAAAGGACTAACGAAGTTCGTTAGTGCAACTGTAGTTACAAGCTGAATTATATAGCTTTTTAACACAGTATTTCAACCAGACTTTGTCCTGATTGCCTTTTTATTTTTTTTTAAATAATTAATAAATAGATCAGTCGACGACGATTTTGCTAAGGTTCCAAAGTTTTATATCCAAAAAATGTTGATGTTTTATTCTATTTTGAAGAACAAGTACGTAATTATTTCCCTCAGAAAAATAGCTTTTTTTGCAGTTTTGATTATCTTACAACGTTTAAGAAAAATGTTTCCTTATCTATAGATGTGCATTGGACAGTATTCCGGAACTTTTTCTGGGCCCTGAAATCGCATCGTAAACGAAATGCATCGTGCATAATTATGAAAAATTTAGAGAAGTCTTCGCATTTACTCCCCCTCATCCCAAAGACATTTTCTTTCCTTGTTTATTGTCAGGAGGGTTTTTGCAGAGCAGAGAAATTTTTGCCTGGGTAATTGACAAGATGTTCTGGTACCACGTAACAGCAGACATCAAGAGCTGCTGTTGTGCCATTTGTCTTCATTCCCGAGGGAGGGCCATTCTTGAGTGAGGATTTATTGCTGATTTAGTTACAAACTTTGAAATGGAAAAGATCTTCCTCTGGGATTTTTTTTTTTCTACAAGTGGGTCTGTATTTTCAGGATTTAATACCTCCAGTTGCCATTTTCGGCTTCGGCAACCTACAAAAAAGCTGCCTCGTCCTTTTGAGTCTTAAAGTCATTTAATTCAGTAAGCAGCTTCAGATTTTGAACATATAAAATACAGTATAACCCAGTGTGAAGTTAAATATCAATAGTCCCGATACTAAATACCCAAGAAACTTTATCGGAAAAAATAATCCCTATTTTTTTGCGGGCAAATTCCTGGCCAAAAACCGCCACGGCAATAATGACTAAATTGAATAATCTAATACCATCACATATCGAAATGACGATAATAAACTCCTCGTCGGAGAACAAACGATTACCGCAATAATACTTACCAGGTGTAAAACCCTAACCAAGAGCAGCTTCAGATTCCGAACGAATTAAAAAAGACCAATATACAGTACAGTAGTTCTATGCCAGTCCAAAAGCAAAAAAAAAAAAAAAAATCCCACAAAAAAAAACCTTTTTTGTTGGCAAATTTCTGACCGCAAACAGTCCCCAGACAATATGAACAAATCGAATAATCCAAAATACTGAAAAAAACAATTAATCATCGAAATGCCGAATGAATTCCTCGATCGTCGGAGAACAAAAAAAATAAAACCGTGATAATAATTACAAGTATTTTGGAGCAAGCCCCTATTATACCAGACAAAAACAGCTTCAGATCTCGAACGAATAACTCATCAGCCTATCTATAAAGTCAAATTCCAGCAAGATTTCTCGGAAAATGTATTCCCTATTTATTCTATTTCTTTTTTCTTTTTTTGCGGGCAAATTCCTGGCCAAAAACGGCCCACCTTCCCCTCGGAGGGGCGGGTTATTCCTCTCGGCTTTCCGCCTTGGCTCAGCCTAATTTTATCAAGGCTGAGTGATATGGCGCACAGCCTTTTTTTTGCGGGCAAATTCCTGGCCAAAAACGGCCCACCTTCCCCTCGGAGGGGCGGGTTATTCCTCTCGGCTTTCCGCCTTGGCTCAGCCTAATTTTATCAAGGCTGAGTGATATGGCGCACAGCCAAGTCCCTGCCGCCGCCCGCGGCTTGATCCACTCAGGGCCTTCATTCGGGCATTCATGAGCAACTAAAAACATTATCCCTGGCGGGGACCCCCGAAAAAGTAAAATAGATAAAAAATTTTTTCCAACGCTCCCCTTTTACTCTTTCTTTCTGCTCGTAACTAGCAAAGGCGTGGTAGGATCAGCTAAAAAAGGCGGTGGTCAAGTCTAGCTGCGCACCTTGAAGTTCGCTGTGTTCATGTAATGGTATATAGCAAAAATGCTTGAAAGTAATAAAATACGTCGAGGGGAAAGGAGTTAGTGGGCGGAAGAAGGCTTTTTTATGTGGCTATGCATGGGTGCTCCAGAAGTTATAGAATATAATAAAATTTATTTGCCAACCTAAAAGAATTCTGCGATGGGGAAAAGTTGACTTATTGGCACCAGCATCATAGGAAGCTCTGGATTTTTTTTTTAATTATGCGCAAAAAATAACAGTGTCTTGAAATTAGTTCAAAGTAAATAAGAGCAAAAATACTTGAAAAAATTGTAGAAATAAAGAGGAAATGAGTTACGTGGGCGAAAGAAGTTTGTTAGTACAGTATAGCTCTGCATGGGGTTTTCCAAAAGTTCATACACTAATTGTGAGGCAAAGCCCACAAAGAGCGTTTTGGATGAAATGATTAAGTAAATAAATCAGAATAAATAACTGAGAAACACATTTTGCCGGGGAACACGGCAGGGGATAACTCGGTAGTTAGCCAAAAGAGAGAAAATAATAGTTGATGTATTTCAAAGGTTTTGACAATTCACACTTAGGAAAAATGAATCGATCCTCACGCCACAAACCGAAGATTACGACTGTGTACAAAATGGGGGAAGAGTGATGGACGAGTGCATAGACATTGCGCAACTGGGAAAATCCCAAAGGGTTTTCCGGTTGCAGAATATATTATATTAATTAGCGTATGTTCAAAAGAGTGAGACAACAGTACTCGTATTTGCTCGTGTATGTTTATTTGCGTGGGACGACTATACCTTACACTAATCAAATGTATTTGCCAATCTAAAAAAAATCCTGTGCTGGGAAAAGGTTGGCATGACAATATACAGAAAGCTTTGCATTATTTTGTAAAATTAAGTTGAAAATAGTTAAGAGCAAAATACATGGAAATAATAAAATAAGTCGAGAGGATAGGAGTTAGTGGGAGAATTTTTTTTAGGTGTGCATGGATTTCACCAAAAGTTCATACACTAATAAAATACATTCGCCAATCTGAAAAAAATCCTGTGCTGGGAGAAGGTTGACCTGACAACAGAGGAAGCTTTGCATTATTTTGAAAATTACGCAAAAAAGAACAGTTATACGTGTCTTGAAATAAGTATGCATCTATATAGCAATTAAGATGAGATAAAAATTTCGATTTTTCAAAGTGACATATTTGAAGCTTACGTGAGATTAAAAAAAAATAAATAAATCTAAGAATTGTTGACTGGACAGGAATGCGTATTCTGAAGCCTTTTAAATAATCAACTATTCAGGACGCAAAATAATATCCCGGGATTATTTCCTGATCCATAGAGTTGGACTATATGTGATCGAATGTGCGGAAGATGATTGCGTCACAAGGGATGTTATCATTTCTGCAAGCATGTCTTGCTTTTCTTTTGAGGATGCTTTTTCCTGTCGTTTTTCCTCCTTTCACGCCTTGCGTCAATATCTTCCGGTTCCTGTCTTCCTTGTGTCATCCCCAAAATATGGGTTTTCTTCGTTTTGTGCTTCGTTGTGATACGCGTCAAAGAGGATATTTTTTCTTTTGAAAGCTTGTGTTAGAGAAAAATAAGCCTATACTGTATACCCCCTGGTTTCTTCTGGAAACTTTGTTTGGATAGAAAGGAGGAAGTTCAGTGTTGGTGTCGTGGGGCTGCTGGTGTCACTTTGTGTGCTTTTCAAAAGGGTTCACGGAAGTTTCGTTTTATTATTATTATTTAATCTTCGGAGAAACTTTTTTCGCTGCAGAAATTGTTGTGATGAGTAATGGTTCTTGGAAGCATCAGAAGTTGTTCATTTATTGTGATCGAAAGTTGACACTTTGTTCAAAGAAGCACGAATAAATACATAAATATCCGACTGAAATATTTCTGGATTTATAAAACGGAACGATAAATAACAATATTTACAAAGTCGGAAATCTGTGCGAAGATCATCATTTTGAAAGGCGATTAAGACGAAATCAATTAAAGATAATGAGAAAAGTTGAATATCCAAACATATCAAGTTCTGGTGGTCCGACTGATCCACGCAACTTTACGAAAGCTTGAAAATGGTTTTCGATTTAGCATAAGCTTGGTTTTGTTAAATCTTTTTTTTTAGTGCCTTGTATCACAATTTTCCGGTCACCCAAGTACCTGACCCTAAATCATCTTTAATGGCAGACTGACTTGTGCTGTTTTTCTTCATAAAATGCAGCTCCATAAACACAAAAATTCCTTTTTTTTTAGTGCCTTGTATCACAATTTTCCGGTCACCCAAGTACCTGACCCTAAATCATCTTTAATGGCAGACTGACTTGTGCTGTTTTTCTTCATAAAATGCAGCTCCATAAACACAAAAATTCCCTCGATCTGGAAGCATTCTATTTCCATCAGTGAAACAAAGTTATTTTTCAGAGAAGAAGTTTCCGCGAAATTTTTGAGAGATTCGATAGCTTTTTTTGGACACTTTTAAATAAATGAAAATATCGCTAAAACTGATTCATTTGCGTTGATGGGAAGGTATTTTAATTTCTCAATAATGCCAAATAAAATCTGGCTTGGTGAAAATTGAGCAGTGCCAAGGAACTCACAAAATTCCACTCATAAATCAATCAATAAGTCATTTGTCCAACATCTCAGAAAAAAAAAAACGCGAGTCTGACATAAATTTTTGAGCCAACCCTTGGCAATTTGTGTAATTTTTGAAAAAAACAGCCAGAAAAACTTGTGGGAACTTGAGGTCAAACTTGGTCCCATGGGATTCCTGCAGGATTAGCTTTGTTTCAGGAGCTAAACAATCTATCTTTTTCTCAATTTGTATATCTACTTTCCAAAAACAACCTCATTTCTGCCATGAAAGATGCAGTTTAATCAACTATCGGAATTCTTCAGATTTTTTGAACGCAAAAATTCATTGAAATTGTTGGAGAGTATGTTGAATGGCATTGAAGTGTTGCCAAATGATGGGGCTATGCAATTGAAAACTTTTTTGAAAATTTTGAAACTGTTGGATCTATTCCAAACAGTCTCAAAACTCATGAACCAATCAGCATATATACAGTATATATACAGTATATACAGTGAGACCCCCACATGCGGACACCTTGACCTGCGGACAATTTGACATATAGGGACACACATTTTTCCAGAAAAATTGATTAAAAAAGGCCCAACATGAGGACACCAACTCAACATATAGGGAGATTTTTGTGATGAAATTGCAAATACATTTCAGGCCAAATTACAAGGAACATATATTTCCAACCCTAAAATTGATGTAAGAAAATTTCTCGGGCATTTCTCTCACCAATTTACCATCCATTTAGCTAATTTTAGAAAATTACCTTCAGCATAGAGGGACTTCTTCATTTTTTTCACTTGAATGTTATTTTTGTAGATGCGAACATTTCAATGTATAGTATACAGATTTACACTATTCAATGCTCCAAATATTCTTCTTGAGTTGAAAATGTATTCACTAATTCAAATTTAAGTGGAAAACAATTTTTTCAGAAAATTCTGAAGAATATTTCTTCCATAAAACACCAATTAAAAATTATATAATGTAAATCTATGGAAAAACAATACTCAACTTAGGGATATTTTGACTTATATGGACACTCTTGATGCACCAATTATGTCCGCATCCTGGGGTCTCACTGAAGAGTGTCCCTAAGTTGTTGTCCCTAAGTTGAGTCTGGTTTTTCCATAGACTTACATCATACAATTTTTAACGTCTGCAGTGGGAGGAACGACCAGTAGGATCCTACAGGGGTCTCAGGGGGAATAATAAGGACGTTGTGTAACGTGTGTCTGTGGCCTTTTGCACCTTGAATTAATTTGCCTACTTGAAAACTCACCAATTAACATTAAGTTGTCAGGATGGCCAAGTGGTCTAAGGCGCTGCGTTCAGGTCACAGTCTGGTTCTGCAGGCTTGGGTTTGAATCCCACTTCTGCCATCATTTTTTCATTTTTTTTGTCCACACTGCGGACACTCTACTACAGTACTTGATTGGTGTTTTATGGAAGAAATATTCTTCAGAATTATATATAGATATATATATTATTGTTGGGTTAAAGATGATGATTTCAGCTGTATTTCGGATGAATGGAAGGTGAAATGATTGATTTTTGATCCGCAGCATCGAGACACGCAGGAAACCCTGGCAGTGCTTGACAGGCTTGACCTGGATACTGACAAGCCAAACGAGGACCTTTAGAAGGCCTTTAAGCCGTACCTTCTCCTGATGTTGTTGCCTTGAGAAAGGACCACCGTCTCTTACTTCGGCTTTGACACCAGTAACTACCTGCTCGGAATAAGGAGGTCACGACGGTTCCACCGTTTTTTCTTTCTTTCTCGGGTTCCTCTTGCAACCGTCGCTTTTCTCATACATTGCTGCCTTTTTCATTTTTCTTCTGTTATTTTTTATAATTTTTTTTAAATTTTGATCACATCATGATCGAATATTTGGCAAGTGCCACGATTTGCCTAATTCAAGGCATATGGTTGGGAATTGACCCTTCGAATAATGCATCGATTCTGAATTACGCGTTTGTTTTTTCTTGCGGGAATGCACCTGCTGAAGAGAGGCGCAATTTTTGCGATTTCTTTGACAGGCCATTTTAGTGTGGCATTCTTTTCCTTTGTGCTTGCTTCTTCCCATATGTTCAAAGTAAAGCTATTTCCACTGAATATTTCCCCAATGAACTCATTTTTTTTACGGCATAAGCTCTCTTAGCATCTCATACGCAAGTCATGGGGTCTAAAATTGTTTACTGATTGAATGGAGCATTCATTCGAATAATTTATTTTCCGCCTGCAGCCATATATTCCTTTTAAAAATCCCAACTGAAAGCCAGAAGATGCCTTAAAAGGATTCAATCAACTGATCAAAGAGTTTCTTGTTTTGCTGCCTGGTTTTCTTCTCATCTCAAAAAGTTTTAAATCCCAAACAACGCTGTAATGACATTCAAATAAAAAGTTTAAATTTTATCTATTGTTGTTAATATAAGCTTTCGTCCTTTCTTTACGGAGTCCGCTACCGTGAGCTGGAAAAGAAACTTGTAGGGTTGGTTTTCAGTTTTTTACGGAGTGAAGCGAGTCCGATTACCCGTTCAATTAGCTTTTTGTTTGCTGCTTTTCTTCTCATCTCGAAGTTTTCAATCCCGAACGATTCTGTGATGTAAAACTTTCATTTTGAAAATTTGAAATGAATAAAAAATAGCAACATTCAAAAGTAGGAACATATAATGCCTCTGGCGGTTGCACTCGACTGTTTCTTTAGTTTTCAATCCCGAACGATTCTGTGATGTAAAACTTTCATTTTGAAAATTTGAAATGAATAAAAAATAGCAACATTCAAAAGTAGGAACATATAATGCCTCTGGCGGTTGCACTCGACTGTTTCTTGGAAAATCCCAACTAAAAGTCAGAAGATGCTTTAACCGAATTCAAGCAACTGTTGAATGAGTTTCTTCTCTGCTGGTTTTCTTCTCATCTCAAAGTTTTCCACCCCCAAGAACACCGTCAGTGGGTGAAACTACCATTTTGCAAATTTAAAATAAATAATAAAAAGAATATTCAAAAGCAGTAACATAAGGATTCAGGCGGGGGCACTCGAAATTTTTTTTTTAAATTGAAAATCCCAACTAAAAGCTAGAAGATTGCTTGAACGAATTCAATCAAGCGTTAAACGAGTTTCTTCTCTGCTGCTGGTTCGCTTCTCATCTCAAAGTTTTCTATCTCGAACAACGCCGTGATGTGAAACGTTCATTTTGCAAGCTAAAAAAAAATCCAAGAACGGGAACATAATGTCCTCAGGCGTGTTGGCAAAACTTTTGCAGCAAATAGATGGGAGTTACTCTCATTTCGAAAGTGCAGTGCGAAAATTTACATTCAACTCATCGGTGATTCGCTTGCTTGAAGCAGAAAACTTTTGCAAGGAAGTGAGTGGGCGGGTTTTTTTTTTGCAGGGATGTGTGTCGAATGGAAATTAAGTTCTCTTTGTGGGGGAAAGATAACTGTGTTAATGCGGACGAATGGGTCAAGTGAGCGCCGAGTCCGATTGAACGTCAGTCAACAGAACATCACGACATCTGAGCGCCGCCAAAATCCGCGCCAGCTTATAATGATCTGAAAAATTCCATAATTTTGTAATGAACTCTTAGAATTTTATTTCATAACAAATTTGTTTAAAAAAAAGTGTGCAACTATTTTCTCTAAGCACTCCAATGACTCTGACAATCCTTGGCACGACGACCGGAATAATTTTCAACTAGTTTTTTCTTTGTTGTGCCAAAAAAACGCCCAATTTTGTCATGCTGAATTCCTTCTGCTGAAAAAAAGACTTGAAAGACAATGGAAAGAAAAATAAATACAAATGTGAGAGCTGAAATAGAACCTGAGCAGAACCCATACATATCGAGGCCCTCAGTTATTGGGTGGCGCTCAGTTTTACGTGGCGCGCAATTGGACTCTGCCGAGTTGTGGGGGGTCACTGGACAAATGTACCAACAACTGAGTGCACCAGAGAGATTGGTTCATCTAGACATGCCAAGGATTCGGCAAAAGTACTTACGACCTTCTTCCACATTGACATTGCTGTCGGCCCTTTTATTTTCCTTGTCCCACAGGTGTACTTATATATATAGAGTAGCTCCGACGCGGTGCCGCCCATTTTCAGAGGAATTTATGGGGTGACATTTGGGTTCCATTCGGAGAATGCGGGGATAGCAGTCGTTTTCCGAGGGGGTCTCCATGTGGGATACTACATTTAGACGAATATAGATCCCCTGGGATCCCAAAGATGCACCTTGTCTCTTTAGTCCCACTTTTTTTTTTTTTTGATGGCGAATGTAATTTAAAGTTTTTGGAGAAATTATTTACGTGGTCTTTTTCCTTGTGCTGTACGGGTTTCCATTTTTTCGATCCATAAATCTGGCTTATTTGAAAATTTGGATCAAATCTCATGCAAGCACAGAATCTGGTCAATTTTTTTCAAGAACTGCGTATTGAATCGAATGATGAGATGCAAAAAAAAAATAAATCCCGAAGAAAGTAAGATTCTATGACACTTGCCTAAAATATTTTCTCCTGGACTTACATTATATAATTCTTAGTTGGTGTTTTATGTACAAAATACTCACTATAATTCCACATGGAAATAAAAATTGTACCCCAATTTAAATGAATTCAATCAATATATTTCAACACAACATGGACATTTGGGGAATTGAATCCTGATACATCTGTAGAGTACATAGAAATGTTGACATTCTCTGTAAAAAAAAATATTCAAGTTAAAAATAGAGAAGGAAGTCCCTCAATGCTGGAGGTAATTTTTTAAATTTGCTAAATGGATGGTAAATTGGTGAGAGAAATGCACAAGAACCTTTCTTACATCAATTTTAGGGCTGTTTCTTGTAATTTGGTCTGAAATGTATTCGCAATTTTATCACAAAATGTCCCTCTGTGGAGTCAGTGTCCTCGTGTCGGGCCTTTTTTAATTAATTTTTTATTGGAAAGTAAGAGTCCTTATTTAGAATTTTCTGCAGGTCAAGGTGTCCGCATGTGGGGGTCTCACTGTATTTATTTTTTTATTTTTTTGCAGGTGGTTGGAATCGTGAGTGTCTTCTTCATTTGCGTGTCCATCCTGTCCTTCTGCCTGAAAACGCACCCGGACATGCGAGTGCCCGTGATCAAGAACATCACTGTGCAAACAGCCAACAATCTCACGGCCTGGACCCTGGACAAAACAGCAACCCAGGCCCACCAGGCATTCTTCTACATAGAATGCGTGTGCAATGCCTGGTTCACTTTCGAGATCCTCATGCGATTCATCGCAACGCCCAGCAAACTCGAATTCATCCGGTCCTCGGTCAACATCATCGACTACGTCGCCACGCTCAGCTTCTACATTGATCTGATTCTGCAAATCTACGCGTCTCACTTGGAGAATGCGGACATTCTGGAATTTTTCAGCATTATTCGAATCATGAGACTGTTTAAGCTGACGCGGCATTCGTCGGGACTCAAGATTTTGATACAGACTTTCCGCGCGTCCGCCAAGGAGCTCACACTGTTGGTCTTCTTCCTCGTCTTGGGCATTGTGATTTTCGCCTCGCTGGTCTACTATGCCGAGCGAATCCAGGTTAGTTGGCCAAATATTTTTTACAAGTGCCAATCACATACTTGGGGAAATTTGGGATATAGCCTTCCGAGCAGCAATTTTTCAAAAACTAATAGAGAGGAGAAACTTGTAGGGAACTTTGTCAGAACCAGCCTCTGACCTTTTAATAGAGTCCACAGTGTCATTAGTTTTTTTTTTTACTTTCAGTTTGATCTACTTTGATGTAAATTAACACTGTGCTATCCAACGTGAAACTTTGAAGACGTGTCCGTATTGTTGTTAAACCAGCAAAGAACTGGGGACAAATGTGCCTCAATATAATTTAGTGTTGAGTGCTGTTTAAACAATGATAAAACAGGTTACTCAGTCTGGGACAGGACCGGGATTCCGTTTAGGAATTCCTAGTTTTAAAGGGTGGTAAAGTATATTTTGAGGAATGAGTGAATAATCAACTCCTTGAACTCAACTTGCAAGTATAACTTGGATACATTGGAATAATCACAACTGATGAACTGATTCTGATCTATGATGATAATGTGAAAAGGAGCAGCTTATATACAATACTACCAATAATAAATAACCTTCAGAAGGTTTTACTTTTACAGTCACAGCAAGAGAGATAACAGGATGTTCCTGGCACTACAATTTTGAGGAGGGGGGAAACATTTTTCATTTCCAGGAATCGAGTACATTACTTTACCCTGCGTGCATGTCCAACATATAAATTTAATATTTTGCTTTTCAATATTACAAGAACTCTTTTTTTCCGCCGCACTTGTTTCATAAAATGGGAAAATCCCGGTTAGTTTGCTATTATTCTCGGTTTTTTATATTGTCAATCGCATACTGAAGAAATTTGGGACAGCCTTCCCAGTAAACATGTTTCAAAAACTGGGCCACAAACTTCGCTTCATACGAACTGTGATGGGAAAATTGTCAGAACCGGCCTATATAACACGAAGCTTTTAGCATTAGTGTCATTAGTTTTTGCCCTTACGTTTCAATCTACAGTACCTTAATACAAATTAATACTGTGTTGTTCAACATGAATATTGGAAGACGTATGCATATTGTTGCGAAACCAGCGAAGTCAGTTTAGCTTTCCAGTACAGTTCTAAAAACTCTTTTTCCGCCTCACTAGTCTAATATAATGGGAAAATTCAGATTAGTTTGTCAGCATTTTTAAAATCGTGAATCACATACGTGGAAAATTCGGAGCAGCCTTCAAGGCAAGAATTTTTCAAAAACTAGGGCAGAAACTTCGCTTACGAACTGTGAGAGAAATTTGGGAGAACCGGCCTCTGACACGAACCTTAGAGTAAGTGTCCTCACGCGATTAATAAGAAACTTCTCACAATTTTATTTCGCGATGATTAGGTCAGATGAAAATGTAAAGTATTTTTATATCCAGGGTTAATTACGTGATTTAAGAGTGTCGAATGAAGTGTGCTATACGGTACCTGAATCAAGTGCCTGATTCGATTCTCCGGGAGATTTTTAAATTGTTCCGAAATACAAAGGAATAATGGCAGACTGGAGTTAAACTACAGGCATCAAACTCACCCATGATTTCTTGCTTTGCAGTTAAAAAATAGAAGACTTGACGATACCATGCCGACAACACTATACATTTCTCCGAGCTTTAGCAAAAACCGGATGTTCCGCTTTTCTTATAATTTATTCCCTTCTAAAATTTTAAGGATTTTCTATTTGATCGAGACGAAGAGGCCATTTGCCCTGAACTGTCGCCTATGGCCAAGGATGTACTCCGGCAAAAGAGCGTCTTTCACCTCCCCAAAGGCGACCTCGTTTTTAGAAGAAAAATGACCCGGTAACATCCCGGTAATTCCTGAGATTTGTAAGGACTGAAATCTTCCGAAGGTCTCGTTTGTTGAAGGAACTATACACAAGAAAAAATAAAACCTAAGAATTATTTGAGAAAAGAACAGTTTACATAAATTGCTTCCCGATGTATCCAATCTTCTGGAAGACATTTTAAAGTGCAGTTTAGATATACTTTGTCATGTCATTATATCACTTTTGTGATGCTGATGCCTCATCTGTTTCCCGTAGGAATAACAGCAAGGACACAAAGTATCTCAGTAAAGTGTGGGATTTAATCTTCTGGAACGAAGTGCACTCCAGATGTATTTTGGGATGACAGCACTTACATGCAACTCATACATCATCTGTTTAATTTTTTTTTCGGGAATAAAAGTGCTGAACATATTCATTAATCTGGCAATATTTCATTACAATATACTGTTCGTGCATTTGAGTATAAATCTTTTTGTACTGAAACGTTTTCTTCCAAAGATGCTTTCTCGAGATGTTTCTGCTAGAGTTGAACACGGTGTCATGACGAAATTGATGTTAGAAAAATCTTTGAATATAATTTTTGTTGAATCAAACTTGAAGAAGAATGATGTAAAATGTCACCTTTCATTGGTTTCAGCGGCCCATGAATTCCGCAATTAGAATTGTCTAAGCATGAAAATAATTAATTTTCCAGCATGTTCTGAGGAAGATAATTATGATGATATGAGACTTGCAAGACATGAAAATTTCCTCTGAAAAGCAGTTCGAAATCAAAACAGGATTCTGTGACATATCAGTATGACATCGAAAGAAAATTTGTTAAATTTCCTGGAATTCCTTTATGGTTGAAACCAGTTCCGAAAGAGAAAAAAAGTATCAAGATTGTCTTGATCTGAGAAATAACTTCTGCTTTTTTGTCCACATTTTTTTGTCGAATATTCAAATAGCAACGAACAAAATATTTAAAAAAAAATACCAAGGACGCTTCATTGCTTTTGAGTGCTTCGAGAAGGTCGTTTCCCTTTTAGAGCTAGTCCCAGTGCGAACCTTTCCTCTCTGCCAGGTCTGACCTATTTTTTCCCCTCTTACCTATCACCGGAAATGGCCCGGGTTCGAAAAATGGCGACGAAAAGTGTCCTGCGAAGCTCCGTTCTTTATACTCCTGCTGTCTCCGACTTTTTTCTTCCCACTCCGGAGGAAAAGTCGGAACTATCAGCAGCAGCCGGAAGGAAGAGAAATAGCACGCAGGTTTTTTCAAGAGGTATTTCGAGTTCGCCAGGTTCATTGTGTTTTGCATACCTACTTACATACGAGGGTTCGTTAAAAAGTTTCGTCATCATACCTCTCTAAATGAAGATCAATTTTTTGGCGCCGGGGAACAAAATTGAGAACTTTCCGAATCACCGTCAGATCATTTGCAATACTTGTAAGCATCTGTCGGGGTTTTTTTTTCAATTTTACAGTCCTGAAATCTTGGAAAAATTTTCAAATTTAGCATCACTAATGAAAAAAATTCTGAGAAAAAATCAGCTTCTAATTGAAACAAGATTGTTCATATCTCTGGGACACGGTTTATGTTGTGATTTTTGAATCAGTGGAGTTATTTGATAGTATTTAGACTGATGCCTTTAAATTTCAAAATCGTGAAAATGTTTTTTCTCACAGTGACGGCGGGTTATACTTTCGAAATTCTTTGAATCTTTCCCGCGACCAGGTTTTGCAAAATGTGCACATGGTAGTGTCCAAGAAATTATCCCGTATTAATGAAGATGAACTCTCTCATCTCTAAAACAATCTTGTCTACAACGATATTTTCTCCATAACGCATATTTTTTGGGTCCCAGTAAACGGATCTCTCCACATCTCATGAGTTCTGTATCAAGAAATTCTTTCTATAACGAATTTTTTTCTGGTCTTTTGCATTCCGTTGTGGAGAGAATCCACCTGTATTGAAAAAGAAATAAACCCGTCTTCATCAAACATTCAAAAGTCACTACAAAAACGGCAGTTCGAGACTGACACAATTTTTTGAAAATCCCTCGCACACACAGTTTTTTGTAGCTCTCATTCACTCACTCCAATAGTGAGGAGTGCTTCTTTTCATGAGATGTGACAGGACTCCTTCAGACGGCTGTGCAAAAAAAAAAAAAGGGGGGAGAAAAATAAATGGAAAGAGTCGAATGACAGCGTGCATCTCATTTGCACTTCTTTCCGGTATTTGTTAGATTTTGCGTATATATAAGATAACTTTTTCACGAAGAGCATATTACACATTTAATTCAAAGTTTGTGAAAATGTTTGCATGTTTGTTTGGACTATTAAAACTTTCCTCTGAAAAAGAGAAGTATTGGAAACTCGAGGGTGAAAATAATAATTTGTAGAATCATTTTTACATTAGAACCGTATAAACTTTGTAAAATCAGTTGGACATCGAAATGATATCGTGCCTCTAATTCAGAATCGAAGAAATTTACGCATCAATCAGGCATTGAAAAATTTCAAAAACTGCCCATTGGGCGGATTTGTTGTTCAAAATCAATATTCTGTCTGGTTCAATTCGTAGAATTCATTATTTAATATTCGCTTGCATAGTTCGAGAATATTTTATTCGATTTTAAACTCTGCTTCTGGAACGCAGATTCAATCAATTCATTCCAGCTGCAATGAAATCTTATAATAATTCAATTCATTCTTCGGAAATTTTCCAAATTGTTTCGACTGTAGTACGATGTAGAGCTCGACTACGAAAGAATTTCGATTTTCAACTATGCGTCTTTAGAATAAATCTGGGAACTCAGAAACTATATGTCCCACATTCACGTTATTCACTGAGAAACTCGAAAGCAGATTAAACTTTTGTTGACTCAATTCAAAACTTAACGAAAAAGATATAGTTTATCCTTGCCAATAAGGCTCATGAATCCCACGGGATATCAAGTACTGTATATCCAACAATAAAAAGTCGCCCTTGTCGCTTACTTATTGACCCCACATCCTGCCAGTGACATCTACCCATTTCAAGACAAAATTTGTTGAAGTTAACGGACAAAGAACGAAGCAAAGAACACGTCGTCCTGTATATAAAGGTCTTGAACATCAACAGTACTCATCAGTAAAGTGAGAAAAGTTTCCTCATGGTCCCCTGAAATGATACTGTACTTTGAAGTCAGGAGAGTAATTTTTATTTCAATTTTCCTCGCCTG